TTAAATGTTTATAAATAAACTAGTAGAGGTTTTTTAAAGATAATTCAAAAAATCACCAAATATAATACGACAGACTGTTCCATTATTTATTTCCATGGAGCTAATCACCTCAGCTAAAGATCATACTTCAAACTAATAAGAAAAAAAATTACACACAAACGCAACGAGAGATAGAAGGGATCAGTAATCAGAGTAAAAATATTGTACAAAAACCAGTGGAAATTTTATACAGATGATAAAAAAATCTACAGAAGCGATTAAATATCCAATCAAGATGTCTAATTCAATTGAAAACGAATATATTTTTGACATCTCAGATATCTATGACCAAAATGAATGTCAGTCATATGTCGATAGAATATTATTCTGATACAAGAATCTCTGCTCAATTACTCTTAAATATTGTTAAAAACTTAAAAATAAAGATTAAATATTTTCTTACAAAAGAGTGAAAGGGTGGCACAGAAACTACGTCTGATCGATATCTAATAGGTTAATACTGAAGTAGAATAGTACAGATTACGAAAGTGGCTCGCTAATCTACTTCTAGGCATGCATCAGTTAAAAACTGTTGTTTAGGCTTCCACGAAAATTGTTATAAATCGTGTATAAAGAATTACTCAGAGTCACGGGTCATGTCATTTTGTAGAGAAATGATTGCTGTAAAAAACTCAGCTGTGAAAAAATACTTGAAATTATTTCTAAAGAAAGTGTAAGTATTCACTATGCACACTATTCACTATTCAGTATGCACTAAAGTTAGAAAAAAATGTTCGAACAGAGTTTTTTTCGAATTTAGTGTACATTAGAATGTTCATATTGGTATCGTTTTTCTACTTATATGGGATTATAGTCGAAACATTTCTCTACAAAAAAAGACGTTCCCCGACTCTGAGTAATTCTTTATGGGCGATTTATAACAATTTTCGTGAAAGCCAAAACAGCAGTTTTTAACTGGTGCATACTTAGCTACTTCATGTTTATCGACAATCGATTTGCGCTTTCTGCACAAGTTTCCTGTAATATTGAGAGAAAATAAATACTGTCTGTCAGTGTGTTCTAATATGGCATGAATAAAATTCTCACTAAAACTGAAGTTGTTCAGATTTCTCTTAAAAACTCCCATCTAAATTTAAGATGCAATCATATTAAAAATGTGAAATGTAATCTTGTTCACTAACGTTTACAAAAACATAACAATTTTTATGAGTTGAAAGCAAATTGAAAACAATTTGCAAGAATTTAACAATACTTTCAAACTTCAAGACGACTAAGTATTCATTTTACCGTCTTTGATAAAATTATTAGTTTTGCTCGCCATCAATTTTAATATTAATCATAACAAACCTTTTTTTTATTGACTGTTTGTTTTTCTTCAATTGTTTGGCTACAATATCTATGCTTTGTGATGACATATATCAGAGAGCAGAACGTATCCGCAATCCGAAATATGATGAAAGCGTTTTATTTTTAGATTTTTTATAAATAAACAAATTACATAAAAATAAGATACAAAAAAAACGAGCTAAAATGTAAAGCTAAAAAGAAACAAAAATAAAATGGTCGAAACGAAATTGACGATCAGATGAAAGCTATAAAAGCCATCAACGAAAGTGAACTCGTAACATACAAACAAATTTAGATTTTTCATTTGCTCCATACCTCTACGTGTTCTTTTAATCAGCTATTAATCTAAGCAATAAATAATTTTTCGTAGCCGTTAATTATCATTGATTCAATGTCAATCCTAAAACATAAAAATGAATTCCAGATGTAAGAAAGAAAAGACATATTATGAAGAACGAAAAGACATTCAAAGGTCAAAGAGGTCGTAAGGTAAGAGAAAATAATGTAAAAAGAAATAATTCTTTTGACAACTATTGATCGTTAGTTTAAATCAAATAAAAGATTATTGATCCCAAATTTCTTCCTTTTCAGTATTTATTACTATTTTAGTTTTACTTTGTTTCTCTTTCACTCAAATAAGGTCTAGAATCAAAATAAAACTGAACATTTAAGTTATTTTCAAATTGAAATTTAAGAAATATTTCTTTTTTTACAAACAAAAATTTAGATCTATGTGTATTTTAGAAATTTTTTTTTTTTATCACTGTTTATCAACAAAAACAATAGATAAATGATTGAATTTCTTACTTAAAAATGAATAACAAAACGTTTATTGATGAAGGTTATGTGTAAGATCTATAGTCTAAATACAACAAGACAGCAAATGAGCTTAAGTCACAAAATATTGTTATTATTCTATATTCTACTATGTATATATTATGCGCGAACAAGGCAAACAAAAAAATTTACTTTCTCTCTTTTTCTCTCTTTATATTGTTTCATCGTAAGCACAACGTTCGTGCATCACTCACATAATACCACTAGTATTACTGTCTTTGTCTCAATCATTTTTTTTTCTTTTCTTTTACATATATGTTGTAAAGCATAATAAATAAATCTGAAACATCAACAATGCACGTGTTGTTATAGTCTACATAACTTTTCAAACAACGGTAAGTTTTTTTTTTTTTTGTTCTGATTTTCTCACAATACTCTCATTTGAGAAAATGACAAACAAAAAAAAAAAAAATGAATGCACGTGTTCGATATTATTATAAGAAATAAGAAAAAAGAAATAGGACAAAAAAAAAAGTTTACTGGTGATCTATAATTTATACCATAGATAAAATTACAACCTTTTCCTCTAGGTAAAAACCACGTATTCATTATTATCTCGTCTACTAGAAAAATTATATATTTACTTGCACTACGACAAAAAAAAGTTCAAGAAAATATTTCCTTAGATACTTGTTAATGTGTAATCTAAAATTAACTCTATATTAGACATTAGATTGTTCTTCTTTTTTTATTTTTCTCATAAAAAAACCATAATAAAATGACGTTAAAAATGAAATGGATGTGAACAAAAATAAATTGTCACAAATCTTACCATTTGAAATAACCTTTGCACCTAGTATCTAGAGAAAAAGATTAAATATTTTTTCAAACATTTTGTTATCAAAGATATTTTGGAGTTATGCAAACTATTGGCAAACGTTTAAGATACATAGTAATTTAGATTCATTTATGCATTTACCGTTGATTATAAAACGGTGTTTTTCATTTGAATTTTATGGTTACTGTCAACAACAGATGCTTAATTGAGGAAACAGAAATATAACAAACGATCATTTAGCGAAAAAGTTCATTTAAACGTAAAAAAGTTAGAAACGAAACATAATAATTAGTAGTATGGATTAATACAGTAGAAGAATTGTTCAATACTATTGAAAACCTGAGGTTATTTCGTTTTTGACAAGAAAATAGAAACTAAACGATTGATAATGTTGGACTTTTAATTATTAATAGACATTCATCGCTCCATACCTCGTTGAATTTTCATTTAACACGATAGATAAACCAAGATCATAAGCCAGAGTCGATTCTCACTAATCAATCCCAGTTCTTGTTTGTTGTTTTCCGTCTAGAGTCGTTTGTATTCGTGAATACATGGTGACATTGAGTGATGGGGATCATCATCTCATGTTGCCCATGAGAGAGAGAGAGAGAGAGAGAGAGAGAGAAGAGGAAATAAAATCATTTCTGCCGTCGTCCGCCGTTGTGTATTAAAAACCACGATTTGTATAGAACGTGAGGAGGGGGATTGTGAGTGTCGACAGAGAATAGTTGATGGTACAATATTGAGAAACAGAGAGAGAAGAGAAAATAATAATTCTTGATTTTTTTTTCTTATCATGACTCATCTTTTTATATTCTCTAGTTTATTATTCTATTCTATTCTGTTTTTATATGAAAATCAATGTGTATTAAAGAAACAGCATGCGTCGTATGCAGATTTTGCTAGATGTACAGAAAAAGAGAAATTCAAATGAAAGTAGTACGATCGTTTCGTTGTCAAGATGAACATATAGCTTTTATTTGGATTATACAGAGCTTTGAGTGTTAAAAAAAAAAAAAAAAAAAAAAAAATTTTTTTTTTTCTTCGTCTGTAAAGCGGTTATATTCCGTCATAACATTTGTTTGTCCAGTGCATGTGTTTCTGTTTGTTCACAAACAAAAGGCTCGACGAACGATGTACCCAAAATGAAATAAATGACCTTGAAAAAATAAAGACGAACGGTAGATATATTTATTACATCATATGAAATTTATATACGCAAATTTCGGTCAGAAATGTAATGAAATTTAGTAATTCAAAAATTATCAAAAGAAAGAGTGAAATATTTATTAAATTCATAACTCATACACAAGATGGAGATGAATGTTGGTATAGAATGTCATACATTCGTTTCTAAACTTTCATCCTATCGACTATGAATTCTAACTTATCTCATATATCAAAACAAATCAAGGTTACACATTTCGAATGGTCAGGTAATGATAGAATAATTCAATATCAATTCGTTTTAACTTGTATCTTGTCATCGATTGTTGGTTTATTAAAGGCAGTCGATCTATTTTCTCACAAAAACAGTTTCTTTGAAGCTAGTTGAAGAACGGTCTGTTTACTGAGCAATGATTTGAATTTTGTCTCTCTTATAAAAAAAATGGTATGTTGTTCGTGGATTTGGGTGCTATTGATGAACGAAATAGAATAAAAAATTTTCCCACTGAACTCGGATTAGATTTAAAACTATTATGAATGCCATGAGATTATCTGTTAAGCTAAACTTTCTCAGAATACTTATAAAAAAACAAAAAATATTGAAGTGTACTTTTTTTTTTAGTCGAATGAAGTTAGCATATCAATTAATTTAAGTTAAAAAAAACACAATAGAAATTAAAAAGAAGTCGAAAACAATATATGAAATAAAAGGAGAATTCTAGAAATGGATAAAAGAAAACTTTTTCATATCAAATATGTACACATATTTAGATTAGAAACGAAACATTATTTTTATAAAATGTTTCGAAGAGGAATGCAAAATCATCTGTCAAGTGATTCTAAAATTCGTATTTGGTTGGATATTGGTTTAAGATTTGAGTGTTACAGGCTTTGTATTTATTATTTTCGTTGTATTATGTTGTTTACCATATTGTCCATTGCTATTTAGGACCGGTAGAGGTTCAACATGTCGAAGTAATTCGTAAACAACTTGTTGGATAGTCTCCGCTAAATGTTCGGTGGTAAACTTATTTTCGTCCAAACATGGTACATGAATAAATACACAACGTTTCGAATCAATATATAATGACTGATAATAAATGAATTCACATAAATATCTATGATAAAGAACGGACAAAAATTAATCATTTAGTAAGTAAGAGTGAAATGTTCCCTCAAATGAGATCTATTTGATCTATCGAAATAAAGTTTAATGATCTATTTATTACTACTAGAACAAAGCTAATTTTATATTCGAATCCTTATTTCGACTGTAAATAGGGAATATTATCTCTATACCAATCTTTAACACACATACATAGAATATCGACATTAAGTTAATATCTTACCTTCCAGCATCATCCGATACGGCTATTGGTAAACTAGATTTTCTTTTGACAAATGCACAAACATTTTCTAACGGTAATTGTGAGCAAATTTCTTCAGGAGCATCACATATGCAACATTTATTTTCCGGAATTGTATTCAAATTATCAAGTGCTGCATAATTGGTATTATGAGCATACTTTTCTAACCGTATTTCCTTAGCACCAGGTGAGACACCCAAATGAATAACAAGCTTAAAATAAAATAATATATTAAAATCTATAATATATTTTTTAAAATCGTCATACTGTTGGATTATACTTCAGCCAATATTCTGGAATTTTTGTATTGACGCTATTATATTCAACCGGCATTTGATGTAGAATAATGTGAACAGGCCTAGAAATTTTTTAAAAAATGTTATATATAGACAGACATGTGCACCGATAAAAAATTTTCGGCAGCGGCGAATGAAACTTTTACCATGGGCGGCGGCGCGAGGCTATAAAAATTTCCTGTACCTTCGGCGGCGGCGTGTAAATATTAGTTATCGGCGGCGAATCTCATAATTTAAGTAAAACAACGTTCTCTTTCATTTCTGGCACGTTCTTCGCGCCCCAACTGTATCTGTACGTTGCCGTATACGAAAAGATAGAAAATGCGCTGCACGCTAGATGCCTAAAGTAAGAACGTGCTAACAAAAATAGTCAAAATTTTCTCCGCCCTCGGCGGCGACAAAAGTTTAACGACATGGCGGCGGAAGTCAGAACAGTTTTTTTCCGACTGCAGCGGAGGCGGCGCGCATCTATATATATAGAATATAGACTAAAATATAGTCAAAAAAGTACCACTTACCTATCCCATTCCACGTACCATTTCAACGCTTTAGCTAGAACCAAATAAAGACATTTATCATTTTTTTCTCTTATAGACAACGTATTTTTTCGAAAACAACAACGGCTTACCAACTTCCCAAGATGGATTGACTAAAACATTTCGAAATGATCCAAATCCAGTAATGAGTATAATTGGTATGTCCACTTTACTGGACATATCAGGTGAAGGCACAGGCTTCTTTTTACTGAGAGGCGAAGACATCTTAAATCTAAATCAAGAAATTTAGATTGGACTTAGTTTAGATTTATGATCATATAGAGTAAACATTAAATATTCAATTGATAATTTTCTATGATTAATTATGCACCCACTATATATTCTAAGTTTGCTATGGGAACATATTTAACGATAAAATAACAAACAATCACCTGTTCCGCAGTTGAGTAGATGCACATGTTTTTTAAATAGCTCGACAGCGAAAAGCGATCTTTGCTATTCGAAAGTGGAGATCCAAGAAAGCGCATTTGAAGAATGTTTTCATAAGCACGCTTTGAGAGATTCTCTTAAAAATCAGTTTAAATCTTCGAAAAATGAAACGAGAACATTTTCGTGGCGTGAACCGTGGATTACGTGGAAGGTCTGATTGACTAAGTGATGACTTTTCAATGTTACGTAAAAATGGCCAAAAATTGCTTATTTTAGCAAAACTGGTGTTTAAGTTTTTGGAAAAGTATTATCATGAAATACAGGGTGGTCGATTAGACATATGACTCGCATTTTTAAGGTTACGTTTGACCAGAGTTACGAGATCAGACCTTCCACGTAATCCACTGTTCACGTCACTAAAATGTTCTCATTTCATTTTTCGAACATTCAAACTGATTTTTCAGAGTTTCTCGAAGCTTACTTAAGAAAAGATTCTTGAAATGCGCTTTCTTGGATCTCATCTTTTGAATGACGAAAACGGTATCTCTATTCCATCAATTTAGATTCGTACATATTTTTCTTATCTGGCGTATTTATGTTTTTAATACATTTTTTTATACGAGAAAAAAGGTCATAACTTTCAATCAAATTTTTCTCTTATTTTATTGGCCTGACAGAGGGAAGGTTTGTTACAGAGGTGATTATGCGCACCTCTGTAACAAACAACATAGTATGAGATTGGAAAACTTCCCCCCACGGAAAAAGTTTGTCAAAAAATTCCCCGACATAATTCACGAACAGAATTTCTTTTTACAAAATATTTCTCAAAAAAAATTTCCCTGAATCAATAAATTTTTCCCCCGACGACTGTCGGAGCAAACAGGCAGATTCTATAGCGGAGTATTTGAAAACAAGTGTTATTTAATGACAATTTTAGTCGTTCAATTTTTCTTGGTTGTAGCATGAGAGTGAGTAACCAAACAATATTTCATTTCGTGTGAGAAAGAAAATTATACTCCTTGTCCTCTTTATGGTTATTGTTCTGTTTGTCCTTTTGTACATATTGGGATGGGTAGGTAGTAGTAGCTATTGATAGGTACGAGTAGGTACGTACCCATATCGACGAATTTTGAGGTTGCAGCAGCCCGAAATTATCCATGAGGTCTAAATTATATATTCCAAGAAACAGAGACTTTATTCTACTAGTCTGAATAGTGAACCTTAGTAAAGAGTTAAAAATGTTATATAGAATCATTTCCTATATTCTCACTACACGAAAAAAAAACTTACCAAGTAAAAAAACTGAAAAGTAAAAGTGACCCTCAAAGTCGCTGATGGTGCTACCATATGTTACTATTTCCAGATGCTCAATAGCGCCATCATCGATTTCTTGAGTTTGTCCGAGAGATTTGACTGTTTTAAATGAGACTTCTAATATTTTCTGATCATATACTAGCATTATATCCAATGAATTTGAGTCCCAAGCATTTGAGATTGAATACACTTTTCATACAACTGAATTTTGTCAATCCTCACAGTACCAGAATCCGAAACATTCATAAATTTACATATATATATATATATATATTCGTTGATCAAAGATCGTGAACAATACACAAATAGCAGTACTAGTACAAGGCCAGACGATCTTGCGGTTTGTCCACAAGCAAATAAATAAAAGGAAAAGGATAAAATAAACAACATTAAGGAGGAAAGACAAAGAGCAAGTAACAGTGTAGCAGAATCAACAAACGTCAAAATAAACAAAAATAACAAATAAATAGCAAGAGGAAGAGCAGAAGCAGAGATGTGATTATTCGAACGGTGAAAACAATTTAGACTAGCTCTATGTGCTGTTCAAGAATATTGACAAACAACTTCTGAATGATTTTATGTTCGTATATGAAGTTAGATGTTATGGCAACTCGTTGTAGTCTTTAAAAATTTTTCAGAAGGAAGAGCGAACAACGACATATGATGTAAAAGATACTTCTACAGTCATACTAGATGCTGTGCATGTACTGTAAACCGTTACTGATGAAGTAATGAATGATGAAGGGTTTAAACGAGAGAGTTTTGCGATGGAAGCTACAGAATCTACAACGTTCTACAGTGATCGCGATCACTGTCAAAATAAGTGAATGTTTTTGTAATTACTCGTGCTACACGAAAGAGCAGCGTCATTAAAATGGATTGATCATTTCATGTCACCAGAGAAACGAAGACTTAATACTTTAGGGTTCAGCGTTATCGATTAGGGTGGCAAACCACCCCCTCGTTTGGATACAGTTACTCAAAAAAATTTTTAAGAAATTTAAGTTGAGACACTGCCTTTTATGCACTTAAGTAAGTGATTTTCTCTAGCTTCTGAGTAACTCATTTATTTGCTGAGAAACTCACTCGTATGCACATGAGTAACTAGGTGACTAACTTTTTTTTCTGAGTAACTCAGTTAATCAGAAAAAAAGTTTTAGTCAAAAAAACTCGTTATTCAGCAGACTCGCCAACTCCCACTAAAACTACTATCGAAAATACTATTAGGGTTGAAATTTATTTTAACAGTTTCACCGAATAAGTGAAGCGATAAAGATTGCGAAGATCGTGATTTTTAGAGAAAAGTAGGTGTATGAACACCTATCCACGTTTGGTAGCATACTGTTAATAATACACATAGAAATTTTATCTAATTCTAATTACACTTTGGATTCTATAGTCGTTGTCGTATCAGGACGAAGAAACGCGATCACAACAAACAAGACATCGGCGAAAAGACTAAAGTAAAGGAGACGAAATGGAATTTAAATCGTTAATAAATATAATAAAGAGGATATTGAATTCTGGGTTATGTAAAAAATTTCTCGGTTCTAGGACTTATTTTCATGGAGTTATAGGCATTTGAAAGTGAGGGTGTTCGGAAAATCGGAAAAAAGCGCCATCTGCAATGTTTTGCCCATAACTTTATCAAATTTAATCTGTCCGTTTCGAATAATGTATCATTCAAGAGAGCGTTCAAAACTGCATAAAATAAGTAGCTTTGATTTTCTAAAAAGTTGAGTATAGATAGAAGAAATAACTGATTCGTGAAAACGAACAATTTTTTCAAGTGTTAGCCGTTTTTTGTGAATACAAAGCATTGGCGGAAAATCTAGTATGCTGCATTTTGTAGAGAATTTCAAGAGCTAGAAGATCCAAATAGAAATTTTGAAAAAAACCTATCACGACATGGCGAAAATTGGGAAACAAGAGGCGAAGGTAGCAAAAATCATTTTTCTAATTTCTAATATAAAAACTTTTTTGCAACATTTTATACATTATTCAACAACCCGCATCGAGCTGATTACAAAAATGTGTTTTTTAACTTTTCAAAACTGGTTTTTCGTGTCGAAAAATCCAAAAAGCTCGAACTGCGAAAAAGTCGCAATTCTGACGTAATTCACGATTTTCTCTAACAGAACTCAAATTCTATGTAATATAAATATCATATTCAGAATCAAAAACTGAGCCGATGTGTATTTCCAAATTTTTAGTTGATCTTCAGTTTTGGGTGAAAATCTCGATAACTTTTCAACATGAGAATTCGAAAAAAGTAAAAGTAGTCTGATAGGACAGAAATACACATCATTCGGTTCAGTTTTGATTCTGAATATGATATTTATATTACACAAGGAAAGAAACACTTGGGTTCCGAAACTTACTTTCCACCTCTCATGCATTGTAAAGGCGACTATGACTTTCATGGTAATTTTTGACCCCAAAATGGGATATATATATAGATTTGTACAGGAAGACTTCCTCTATCTAGTGGTATATGTATATTATCAAATTCTGTTGCGTACCGTGAGAGAAAATTAAAGGTAATCTCTCTCTTTTTACACTTTTTTAGAAATATTTTTAATTTTTGAGTTAAATATTGTACATTATAGAGTAAAGTGTCCTCTACAAAACAAGACCACTTCCAGCTCTCTAAGACCTTTCGTTGAGGAGATATAAATTTTTTAAAGTTTATTACTTTATTCTGAAAAAACCCTAGTTTCTTACTTTCGAAACTCTTTCCTCTTTCGTTCAGTACTTGTTAAACTTTTGAAACAGTCAGTCTGGTAGAGTAAAGATTTCTCCACAAAATTAGATGTATCCTAACTTTTTACCATGTTTTCTGATAGAGTTATGATCATTTTGTTGGAAGTCTTTGAAAAAGTCACATTTGTGAGATACCGTCCAAAATGATCATAACTCTATCAAAAAACATAATGGAGAGCTGGAAGACATCTCATTTTGTAGAGAAACCTTTACTTTATAAGCCTGACTGTTTCAAAAGTTTATCAAGTACTGAATGAAAGAGAAAAGCGTTTCGCAAGTAAAAAAGTAGGTTTTTTTCAGCGTAAAGTAACAAACTTTAAAAAATTTGTATATCTCCTCAACGAAAGGTCTTAGAGAGCTGGAAGTGGTCTTGTTTTGTAGAGGACACTTTACTCTATAATGTACAATATTTAACTCAAAAATTAAAAATATTTCTAAAAAAGTGTAAAAAGAGAGAGATTACCTTTAATTTTCTCTCACGGTACGCAACAGAATTTGATAATATATACACCACTAGATAGCGGAAATCTTCCTCTACAAACCTACATATATCCCGTTTTGTGGTCAAAACATCATAGTCGCCTTTATGAATGACAAATGAAACTTTAAATTTTTTCAAAGAGATTGAGCATAACTCGGCAGATCAGAGCAGCATTTTCGTACAAAAACTGTTTGAATCCCATTACAGTTCTCCTACAAGCAAAAAGCGCGTCCTATTCTAAGAAATTATGCTACGATAGTGTAGAGAATAAACAACT